GATTGTAATGGGGTATGACAACCATATTGACCAATTGACAAAGAAGAATATGTCATTGCAATAGTAACGGGACAAGCCACCCAATTAATTTGCAGCAAATTGGACAGACTGCTTTGGAAGCGTTCCAAGAAAGAAAGCACTTCTGCTGTTTTGCTTCAAGGCAGACCAAATTTTTAATCCCCTTGAGTCAGAAAAATTAGATTTTTCATTTTTCAATTTTATATGCCAGGATTTAATCCATAGTACAGGCAGAATTGCAACAGATAGAAACTAAGATGTTTATGTGAAAAATGTGAGTCTGGTAATCTCTGATGATCACCATGATTTTTGATGTTTAAACCAATTTTATCAATACTTTCAGAGAATATTAAATATGCCAGGTGTAAAAAATAGACTAATTCTTTTCTTTGTCAGTATAGAATATTATCACTTTTCTCCCTTTTAAATATTTCTTTTACTCAGGTGTACTATCTAACCGGGAACAATTATATTCCAGTCTGTTGTCTTTAGGGTGCCACCTAAAAAGTTGAAATAATTCAAGTCCACTTATAAAATTGCAATAGGCCAGGATAGATCTTCAGGTTGGTTTTTTTTTTTTTAATTGTATGTAATGCATTTATTATTTGTGTTTATCTGTGTGTGTCCACACATAGTTCTGCTGGGTTGTTTTAAACCAGACGTCCTCAAACTACGGCCTGTGGGCCACATGCAGACCACCTAGGACATTGATCCAGCCTGCCGGGTGTTTTTGCCGCTGCTGCCTGTCCTGCTTAGCAACTGACTCATCCCAGGGCTCGCAGTCCAGCCCTCCAACGGTCTGAGGGACAGTGAACCGGCCCCATGTTTAAAAAGTTTGAGGACCCCTGTTAAACCAAGAGCAGGAACACAGTGCAAGACATATGTCGAACCAAAAGAACAGTAGTAAACTGTTGAGTAACACAGGCAGATTACTGTGTGCTGTTTCTTTTTTTTTTTTTTTAATTATAGGGGATTCATTGAGGGTACAAAGAACCAGGTTATATTGATTGTATTTGTTGTTCCACCTCCAAAATTGTGTCATATACCATGACCCTCACCCCTCCCTCCTTTCCTTTTTCTGGTCTCCCCTTCCCCCAGCTTCACCATGAACTAGATCATTAATTGTCCTCATATCAGAATTGAGTACATGGGAATCTTGCTTCTCCATTTTTGTGATGCTTTACTAAGAATGATGTGTTTCACTTCCATCCAGGTTAGTACAAAAAATGTAAAGTCTTCATTTTTTTTAATGGCTGAATATATTCCATGGTATACATATACTGCAGCTTGTTAATCCATCCTGGATTGGGGGCATTTAGGCTGTTTCCACATTTTGGCGATTGTAAATTGAGCTGTGATAAACAGTCTAGAGCAAGTGTTCTTAGGTAAAAGGAATTTTTTGCTTCTGGGTAGATGCCCAGTAATGAGATTGCAAGATCAAATGGGAGGTCCAGCTTAAATTCTTTGAGGGTTTTCCATGCTTCCTTCCAAAAAGATTGTATTAATTTGCAGTCCCACCAGCAGTATAAAAGTGTTCCCTTCTCTCTGCATTCACACCAGCATCTGCAGTTCTGAGATTTTGTAATGTGGGCCATTCTCACTGGGGTTGGATGATATCTTAGGGTGGTTTTGATTTGCATTTCTCTAATAATCAGGGAGAGTGTTTGTTAGCCATTTGTCTGTGTTCTTTAGAGAAGGTTCTATTCATCTCTCTTGCCCATTGAGGTAAGGGATTATTGGCTCTTTTTACGTTGCTTAATTTAGTTCTCTGTAGATCCTAGTTGTCAAGCTTTTACCTGATTCAAAATATGCAAATATCCTTTCCTATTGTGGAGGTTGTCTATTTGCTTTGTTTGTTCTGTCTCCTTAACTGGACAGAAACTTTCCAGTTTAATTAAGTCCCATTTGTTTATTTTTGTTGTTGTTGCAATTGCCACAGAAGTCTTCTTCGTAAAGTCTTTCCCCAGACCGATATCCTCAAGTGTTTTTCCCATGCTTTCTGTGAGGATTTTTATCGTTTCATGCCTTAACTTTAAGTCTTTTATTATGAGGGGTACACATTTTTTGGTTACATGAATTGCTCTCATCCAATTTAAGTCAAATTTATAACACATCAGGATAATGTACAATATGTCTGTTAGTAAATTTACCCCTCCACTCCTGATCCCGCCCACCTGCTTGCTCTGTGTTGTATTTTATGACCAATGTGTACATGGGTATTGATCAATTAATTTCAATTTAATAGTGAGTACGTGTGATGTTTCTTTTTCCATTCTTGCAGTACTTCACTAAGAAGAATGGTACCCAGTTCCATACAGGTTATTACAAAAAGTATTAGTTCTCCTTTCTGTGGCTGAAGAGTACTCCATGGTCTATATGTGCCATGTTTTATTAATCCACTTATGTATTGACGAGCACTTGTACTGAGTCCACATCTTTGCAATTGTGAATTGTGCTGGAATAAACATATGCATGCAGGTGTCTTTTTGATAAACTGAGAAGTATATAGGAAGTTCTTTTAATGTCTCTTCTGCCTATAAATTGTAATGGAAATATTATAACTTTGCAATGTATAAAATATTTTCGTTTATAATTAATTGATCCTTCCAATAATCCCCAAGATATTATCTCCTCCATTTCACAGTGAGGAGATTGAAGTCTAGGCATGTCAAAAAATATGCTGGTGGGTGGCGCCTGTGGCTCAAAGGAGTAGGGCGTTGGCCCCATATGCCAGAGGTGGTGGGTGGTGGGTTCAAACCCAGTACCAGCCAAAAACTGCCAAAAAAAAAAAAAAATATGCTGGTGCCAGAACTAATATCCCAGCAGAGGTCTGTTTGCGAGTCCACCTCTCCCTTTCCATCACCCACTGCAGGGCAGCAGCACCCACCCCTCCGCTCCCACAGGTTACCTTGCCTGATGTGCCCGCCCTTCCTATGTGTGGTGGAGAAACAATAGAAAACATAGACACGACAAAAATGTTAACCTGGGCCTAAGTTTTCTTGTCTTTCAGTACCTGACCTTGTAGTTAAAGAAAGTAGAGCGAATGGTTTCAAGTAAAAAAAAAAAAAAATCTCTTAAAGTACTAAATAATCAAGTAGACACTTCCCTCCCTCATTGGCCTGTGGATCCTGGTGAAGCGGGTGGGAAATACCCGCCTGCTCTAACCCTCCGCTGAACTCCTACACAACTGCAGAGGGAACTGGACACCCCTTGTTTCTCTTCAAAACACCACAAAGTCCCGTTCGGTTTGAAAAGTTAAGTAATGTGAAGTCAAATTCATTTGTTATTTTCTTTCTTGGTTCCTGCTTCAGTACCTTTCAATTCTAGTTCCTTAATCATGATCTTAAATATCATGAAAATACAGAAACTATGGCAAAGCAACCACTAAAGGGAGTCTCGCCCTAAGTCTGTTATATTATGTAACTTATTTACCTCTCTTCTGCGTGGCAATGTGTCAAAATCCTAAATTTCACTGAGAAGAAAAGATGGATTGATTCTGTTGTGAACTCTCCAGAAGAGGAGTTGAGACGTCAGGCGAAAAGTGCTTCTCTCCATCACCAGAGGAAGCTAATCAGGGGAAAGTGCCTGCCGTAGCAGACACATTAATCTCCAGCTGGATCCCAAGGCTGTCATGAGGTGTAACTAATCGCATCCTCATGACTCATCTTGGTCTGTAACAACACACTCCACAGTGACATCAGAGGATGTACGGGATGGATGCTGCAAAGAAAAGGCTTCTGTTCAGCTGGAATATTCCATGCATGACACAGCGGCAGTGTTCAATGAATGCAGCTACCACATCCTGTCATCACTCTCTCTCTGAAACTCTCCAGCAGTCATCGCGGGGCAATTTCAGACCCACCGGTTTTTCTAAGAACGTCTCAAAAAAGACTTGTGCCAAGATGCACTGCAGTTGTCTACTCAAGTCCACTCTGGGGCTGAGTCCCAAAGTTAAAAACAAAAAGGATCCTTACATTGGGAAATTATGGTTTTAGTGAGATTTTAGTCACAATGTTACTTCAGATCTTTACAAACTTTTGCTGTCCAAAACTGATTCTTCCAACATCATCTCTGAGAAGAGGTATACTGTGAGCTCTTTCTGCATGTAAAATGAATAATGCCTGTCAACGTTGATTTTCCATTTGACTATCCACGAGCAGATAATTAGCAGAACAGAAAGAGTAGCCAGCCTGGACTGGCCGTAGTCCTCAGGGCTGGCCCTGACTTGGACGTCAACTCTATGATTTCCAGATATGGAAATCTCTCTGGGTTTCAACCAAGAGGGCTCAGCCTCTTAAGGTCCATTTCTGCTTTAAAATTGTATCCTTTTTAAAAAATATCTATAACATTTTTTCATGTTTCTCATGCTGCTTTTCTGCCAAATTAAACATTCTTTAAGAGGCAAGAACTGACGGGATAAATTTTTAAAACATCTTTAAGTTTTAAATTTTTAAATATATAATTTAGCAAGCATTGTAAATTTTAGAAACTAAATGTTTTACACTTTCAAAATATGCAAAATAACAGAAAAGACCACTAAATTGCATTTTAGAAGAAAGCAAGTTAGATGCATGTACCATGTACCCAGAATGAAATATTTACTGACAGATGAGCCAGAATTTACTAGGAATTTCCTGGTTGCAAGTGCAAAAGGGGGAAATAATGGCCCATACTTTCATTGTCTAATTTTATTTTCAAAGGGACTGTGCAGATTTTTCTGGAGAAATGATTATTACCTGGAAACATCTACGTCTAGCCTGATAAAAATTCAGATGTTTTTGAAGTATTTTCAAAAGTATACTTATTAGAGAAATGAAATTTGGAAAGAGAAAAAGTTCCATATAACCAATTAGTATGTATACATGTGCAAACCATATAGAACGTTTTCACAAGTTTGCCTATGCTCTCATCTCTCTTTTCAGTCATAAAGAGTTGTATAGTAATGCTTTCTTTTAATCAATATTTTTTATTTTATTTTTTAGAATGACAAATCCCCAGGGCGATCTGCAAGTCGATCGAGCAACATTTCAAAAGTAAGTGAAACATACTCATTTCCTTATTTATTTATTTCTGCATTTCATGGGTTCAAGCAAATGTTTATAATGTTTAATCTATAATTGTTATCTGTGGACAATACACAAACGTGATTTGTTAATGGTTTTAACTATTTCAAGCATCTTTAATACAAAGACATAATTTCACACAACAAAATAAGTAAACCCATTTTCCCACTTCAGTACTGTATGGAGGAGATAATTTTCTACTTTCAGAATGTAATGGAAAGTATATTGTTTCTCTCATTTCAAAGTCCACAGACCTGCCCCACACTCAGGTTGAAACTGTATCAACATTCCTAGTACAATTCCCATGGATTTAGTTTTTCTGGAGTTTGGGGCTCAACTCGGCTGGAATTTCACTATTCTTGTCACCAGGGCAGGTTTTTAGAAACAAATTTATTATAAAATATTAGTTTGGACATATTTAGGTTATCAAGTCAGTGGATGAAAAACCGTACTCTTCCCTAGGCCTTCTATAAATGTAAGCAAGACACCAGAGTGTTGAAACCATTGTGGCTCGAGAGAAATGCTCCAAATTTTTATTTTGTCTAGAAAAAAAAATTTTTTTTCAACTTTTTCTACTTTAGTAGAGACAGGAGTCTTGCTTTTGCTCAGGCTGGTCTTGAATTCCTGAGCTCCAGTGATCCTTCCACTTTGGAGGGATTGCAGGAGTGAGCCACTGCGCACCCCAAGACACTCAATCTCCCTGAAATGCAGGTGCCTCTTCTATCACATGGGGGTGATGATAACACCAGTCCCCAAAGGCAGTTTTCTCAAGCAGCTGCAATTTTAAATAATGCTTTTCAAATGTCTATCACCTATTCTCATAACGAAGAGCCTTGCCCACTGCGGCAGAACACTGCCGTCTTTCTAAACTCCAATAAGCAGCAACCTAAAAACTTGTAAACAGTACTCACAACTTCTTCGTCAATAAAATTACATCTGCATTTCTAAACTGCTCTTTGAGTTTGACATAATGCGGCTTATTGATAACTGTTAGACTTATTTTTTTAAGAAATAATTCAAGAGTGTGGTTTTCCTTCTAGAAGATCATCTTACACGTTTTGATGTGTATTGATCATATTCCTGTGTGGGAGAAAATTAATTATAAAAGTGCATTTGTATTCAGAGAGAAATGACCAGCTGTCTTCTTAACCCTCCCTTTCACTGTAACCATGACAAAAACTCAACTATCGAACAGCGGTAGGAACTGATTTTGGTTCACATAAATTTATGTTTTTAAGCCAGTATGACCATCCTTTTATTTATGTTCAGTTTGTAAATTATGCACACATTGATTTCTCACTACTTTTTCATGAACTGCTAAGAGATAAACTCTTCATTGAGACCACATAACTTGCCAAGTATAAAATGGCAAAATCTAGAAATACTTGAGGTCTTTAATTTTTAAAATATGGAGAAGAAAATACAAAAAAGTAGAACAAAAGGGATTTTATCCTTTCATTTTATCAAAATAATTTTCATATCAAAGAAAGACTGTGAGAGCTTAAAGAATGAGAATTAAGAGCATGGACACCAGTGTACCTCCTTAGAGGTTATCTGACTGCTTTCATAGCCTTCACTGTAAAAGGAGAACTCGCAGTAGCTGCCACGTGGAGTGCTGCTTACAGCAGCATTTGGCCCTGTGTAAATTTTAGCTATATTTGTTATGAAGTTCTTTTTTTTTCTTTTAATTAAGACAAAAATCTCACTTTGTCCCCTCAGTAGAGTGCTGTGGCATCATAGCTCACAGCAACCTCAAACTCTTGGGCTCAAGCAATTCTTTTGCCTCAACCCCCCTAGTAGCTGGGACTACAGGTGCCCACCACAACATGGGACTATTTTTAGTTTGTTCAGCAGGCACTCCTGTTCTGAAGTTCTTAGTAATTATATCTCAGTGACAGCATCAAATCAGTGTTGAGAAAATCTCTGTTCCAGCAAGTGAATTTTGAGACATGGTTTATAATACGAGATCAGACAATGAAGTCTGTGAACTCAGCCTAGAAAAAGTGCCACATACCTCACTGCTGAGTATCTATCTCTCCAGCCACTTTGGAAGAACCCCCATTGGGAAGCTGTGCACCAATGACAGCTAATCCATTCTTCAAGGCAGTTTTGGAACTCCTTCCCTGGAATGACCACCAGAGATGTTGTGCGATTAGGGTCTGACAATAAGGTCATGAACCCATCCTTGAAACGTGCTTTGAAAGGTTCTGAAAGGTTCTTGCATAGCTTCCCACGGGGAATATTTTGAAGGCGATCATAGGGATAGTCAGCGATGAGGGATGCAGCCCTTTTTCTAGGACAAGTTTGTGATCTTCCTTGTCAGACCTTGTATATACATTGTTTGCTAAGAATCATTTACAAGTGGACAGGATTATGGAAGATATTAGTGATCTGATATTATTTTATCGAAAAAAACCCTGCACATTCCTGTTTCCTTAAAAAGTATACTTATTTTTAACAAAAATAAATTATTTTATGCCAGTAATACCATTATACATAAGAATGGGTAATGATCACTTTCTAAAGTTTTTGTTCATCACAGTGGAGGCCCCCAGGATGTGTTTAATCCCTGCACACCCTAAAGACCATCTTCCTTATCTTTGATCTGCTTTTGCCATTGTCTACTTTGCTACAGAGGACTCCATGCAGGAAGGGACGGCAGACCTGTCCTTCATTTGTTTAAGTCTGTGTCCCTGCCTGTTTCTCACAGTTCCTTACTGAATCAGCAGACCTTCTAATCATCAATATTTGTGAGTGTTTCATATTAGGAATCTAGTTCTTTACCAGGAATGATAAAGTAATGAAAAAAAAAATCCCTACCCAGTTCTCAGCAAGTTTATACTCGGAGTCAGGATAAGATTCTATAGTATATAGTAGAGCCGTGTAACTGCCCATGCACGGGAAAGTTAACATAACAGCTTGTGACACCCTTTCTTAGACAAACCTGCTGGTGAGATCAGCCCTTGTCTGGCATCTGGGAGTTTAGATTTGGGGAGTGGAGCACGGAGCACTACCCTACCTGCTGGGAATAATTCACTGTGTCTGAACCACCAACAGTACAGCCATCCTCAACACCTGCTTTCCTTCTGGAGTCTGCAGTTTTTGTACGTATAGGTGCCTACACAACCAGCCCCCAAAAGATCTCTGAGTGCTGGATCCTAATGGGCTTCCTGGAAGGCAATGCTCCACACCTGTTGGCACAGCTGATTGCTGCAGGAGTTATCACATCCTGGTGACTCCAGTGGGGTGAACAAGGAGTTCAGACAGTGACCATTTCTGTGATCATAAAGTACCAGAAAAGGTTTCTTAGAATAATGGTATAGAGAGACTTGAAGAATGGGTGGGAATTGATCAACTGTCAAGCCAAGGTAGTTAGAGGGATACATAAGGCGTGGAAGCTAGAAAACTTATATTATAAAGAGAAGGCACATAAATAGTTTGTAAGGAGCCTTCTAGATGGGACTTTGAATAATAGAATACATTCTCTCTAGTCTAGTCATAGACTTGGAAATGGAGAAATGAATCTAGAACCCATCAAGGTCCTGGAGGCATTTTTAGTGAATATGTATGAAATGGAATATTATAATTATTTTTACCATTGAGTATTGTCCATTGCAAACATAATCTGCTTTTATGAAAATTCCAATGTAAATAGTAATCTTGAATTATTAGTAAGCACAGAAATCATCTCCTTAGTTGTCACCTTTGAATCTTTGCAGCATATGTTACCAGCAATTACAGTCAAATGTCTGGTCATGCCAATATTTGTTTTTTAAATTAGTTTATATTTCTAGTTTGTTTTAGTAAATATAAGACAGTTCTACCTGTACCTTTTATTTATTCTAGTAAGGTTTGTGTGACATGGATATATTAAAATTGATAGAAAAGCTACAGAGAAACAATGTAAGTTTAATACAACATATGTGAGATTGTAAAATTATCTCAAGTGTGAACAAAGCCGTGTTCATGTATCCACCACTTATTTTTTTTTTTTTAGAAAACTGCTTTTGATATTAGTTCTTGTTGCTGTTTTTTAACACACATTGCTCAAAAATTGTTTCCTGAAGGTGAAAAATTAGCCAAATTTGGCCTTTCTTTTTATTTGTTCTAGGGTGAAGGATCATCATATTTAATTAGCAATAGTGTATTATGTATCTCATAAGAAAAACCTCTCAAAAGCACACTGTAAAAAGGAAAACAAGCCTTGTACTTCCAATTCAAGAGAATTTTCTTTTAAATAAACTATTCTGAACATACCCAAAACTACACATTCTTGGTATGTGTAGGAAGCAGCTCCCAAAATCTGATCTATCTACAAAAGGAATTCAGAAGCTGCCTTAACAAAAGGAGATTCCAGTTAGTAATCATCATTTCTTATTATGTTATCTAGACTTTATGCATTTGACAAAGTTTCACTTCAATTGTTCAGTTGGTCTTTACCTAGAAATATGTTAAGGTAAAGATGGTATATTTTTATAAAATATTATTCCTAAAGCTTTCTTTTGTCTGTGTATCCTAGTTCACTCTGTTATAAATAAAGATTCACACTATAGGCAATACAATTTACTTAACAAATATTTTTAGAGGATGTACTCGGTACAAACCATTGTCAGATCATGGAGTTGAAATAGGCATTTTCTTTTGATAAAATCCCTGTTTAATTTTACTCCTGTAAATCTTTCTTTCTCCATATTTTTCTAGATTTGCCTTTAACATCCCAAACTATTTTTGGCAATGTCAAGGTGAAAGTGTTGCCCATATGTGAAATGTACCGGGAATTCTTTCAGCTGAACTTGAGCCAAGCATTTGCACCTCTGAACAGGTGTTTTATGTTCTAATTTATTGAGAGATCCATCTTGGTTTGCTTATACAAGGGACCTATAAATTAGCCATGCCTCAGACTGCATACCTTTAGAGGATAAGTTTGAGAGGCTGATGAAGTCAAGTAGGATGAATAATTAGGGAATAAC